GAATGGCCTGTCGGCAAAATAATTCTTCCAGTCAGAGCAGGAAGCGTAACGAAACAAGTGGAGTTCTGGGTATTGAAGGTCCCCTCCACTTACAACATCATCTTAGGCAAAACATGACTGCATGCCATGCGATCGGTGGCGTCATCCTACCACCAAGTAATGCGGTTCCCCAACGATACCGGGGTAATTGAAGAAGTCTATGGAGATCAGATCATGTCAAAGCAATGCTTCGTCACGGTGAATGGCAGCCGCGCTGCCAAAGGATACGTTCATTCGGTGGAAGAACTTAAGAGCAATGAGCTATTCGCAGATGTCGGCAAAGCGGCTGATCAGAAAGCGGTGGAGAACTTGGTAGAGGTAAGAATAGATGAAAAGAACCCGGATAAGTTCTTTTTGCTCGGTTCGTCGTTGTCCAGCACTGAGAGATTAGAGGTGTTAAAATTTTTGACCTCTAACATCGAAGTGTTCGCCTGGACGCCATACGACATGCCAGGTATTGATCCCAACTTCATCTGTCACCAACTCAATGTCCACCCATCCGCCAGACCAATCATCCAATGCACACGCAGATCGGCACTCCACCATGCCGAGATAGTGGTGGAAGAAGTAGGTAACCTGTTGGAGGCAGGAGCAATTAGAGAAGTGCACTACCCAAAATGGATCTCCAACACAGTCGTAGTGCCAAAGAAGAATGGCAAGTGGCGTGTCTGCGTCGACTATAAAACAGTCAACAAGGCGTGCCTAAAAGACAGCTTTCCTCTACCATGGATAGATCAACTGGTAGACCAAACGGCGGGGCACAACCGACTTAGCTTTCTGGATGCATACAGAGGCTACCACCAAATCGCCATGCATGAACCAGACCAGGAGGTCACATCCTTTACAACTCCAAGAGGACTGTACTGTTACAAGGTTATGCCCTTTGGCCTAAAGAACGCAGGGGCAACATTCCAACGAATGGTCACCAAGATGTTTGAACCATTGTTAGGCAGAACAATGGAGGCTTACATCGATGACATGGTGGTCAAGAGCAAGGATGAGAATGACCATCTCAAGGACTTAGGAAAGATGTTTGAAATCCTGAAGAAGCACAAGTTGTGCCTCAACGCATCCAAGTGTGCATTCGGAGTAGGATCTGGCAAATTCCTGGGTTTCCTTGTGACCAACCGGGGAATAGAAGTAGACCCCTCCCAGATCAAAGCAATCCAGGATTTGGAGAGACCAAACTCAGTAAAAGAAGTGCAGCATCTCACCGGCATGGTAGCTGCGCTCAATCGGTTCATAAGCCGGTCATCGGATAGACTACGACCATTCTTCCATGCACTAAAAGCCAAGTTCGAATGGGACAAAGAATGCGACCAAGCTCTGGAAAGCTTGAAAGAATACATGTCTTCTCCATCATTGCTGGTCACCCAATACCTGGAGAAGAACTCTTCTTGTACCTGGCAGTCTCTCAGCACGCAATTAGCGCAGTGTTGGTCCGTGCTGATGGAATTCAACATCTGCCCATCTATTATGTCAGCAAGACATTACTGGGAGCTGAAACAAGGTATTTGCCTCTGGAAAAACTGGCATTGGCCTTAATGATGGCCTCAAGGAAGTTATCGCACTACTTTCACGCCTATACCATAGTTGTCCTCACAGCTTTCCCACTAAAAGCTTTATTTGAGAGGGCAAACTTTTCTGGGCGAATCTTAAAGTGGGTAATAGAGTTGGGACAATTTGACATTAAGTTCCAACCCAGAACCGCGATAAAGGCCCAAGCTTTGGCAGACTTTGTCGCAGAATTCACCCCAGGAAGTCATCATATCTGCCCAGTTGACCTGACTGATACAACCAAACCAGGGATAAAAGTTGACACCGGAATAACGCAACCCATGGTGCAGGATATTCAATCAAATCCCATGGCAAACCAGACTAAAGATAGCAAGGAAAAAGCAAACCAAGCTACACCGAACCAAGACTCACCAACAAATAAAGACTTTGTACAATCAGATAGCGAAGGGCAGACTGCGAGTGTGGACCTTGAAGAAAACACCAGTAACATTCTTGACCCCACGACATCATTTGACCCCTTCACTTGCTGGAAATTGTTCGTTGGAGAGATATAGAAGCTCTTTGTGGATGGAGCATCCAACCGGCATGGTGCAGGACTTGGCATAATCCTCATCTCACCAGACAGCCTGGTTGTGGAGCAAGCAATTAACCTTGGCTTCCCAGCATCAAACAACGAAGCGGAGTATGAAGCACTTCTTGCAGGACTCAAAACAGCATTCTACATGAAGGCCACCGAACTAATGGTCTACAGCGACTCACAACTGGTGGTAAACCAAATTTCTGGTGACTATGAAGCAAAGGATGATAAGATAGCCAAGTACCAAGAATTGATCAGAATAGAGATCAAGAAATTTGAAGTAGTAAGGATAGAACAGATTGGCAGGGAGAAAAACAGCAGGGCAGACGAACTAGCAGGCTTCGCTTCAATGGCAGATACTTCCATCCCGCATCCGTTGCTCATCGACTACTTACCAAGACCAAGCATTGAAGACCCCAAAGCAGAAGAGGTATGTTGCGCCGAGCTAGGCCCCTCATGGATGGATCCCATCATACTATTCTTGAAAGATGGCGTCCTACCAGAAGAAAAGAAAGAAGCCAACAAAATTAGAGCAAAGTCACAGTGATTTTGGCTCTCCCCATCTCTGGCATTATACAAAAAGTCATTCTCAGGACCCTATCTAAAGTGTGTCCACCCCAGCAAAGTGGAAGCATTCTTATACGAGATACACGAAGGGGTGTGCGGAAGCCATCAAGGAAGAAGATCGCTAGCTTACAGGGCCATTTCGCAAGGATACTGGTGGCCATACATGCAGGCAGACTCAGAGAAATATGTGAAGAAGTGCGAGAAATGCCAAAAATTCGCACACCAAATACATCAACCAGCTAGAGAACTCCTACCATTGACTAGCCCATGGCCTTTCGCAATGTGGGGCTTGGACATAGTAGGACCATTTCCAACAGCACCCGGAAACAGGAAGTTTTTTCTCGCAGCAACAGACTACTTCACAAAGTGGGTGGAAGCAGAAGCATTGGCATCAATCAAGGAAAAAGATGTAAAGAAGTTCGTCTGGCAGAATATCATCACTCGATTTGGCACACCAAAAGCCCTAATCTCAGACAACGGCACTCAGTTCGATGGCAGAATCTTCAGAGCCTTTTGTGAAAAGTACAAGATAGAGTTCTATAATTCTACACCGGCATATCCCCAAGAAAATGAACAGGCAGAAGCTTCAAACAAGGTAGTCTTGGATGGGTTGAAGAAAAGGTTGGAGAAAGCCAAAGGCAAATGGGCGGAAGAACTTCTTCATGTTTTATGGGCTTACCGCACCACACATCAACGATCAACAGGAGAAACACCATTCTCCTTAGTCTATGGTATGGAAGCAGTAATCCCACTCGAAGTCGGCCTCCCCACAATTAGAAGCGAAAATTTTGATCCAGACTTAAATGGAGAAGCCATAGCATTGGAGCTCGACCTTGCGGAAGAAAGAAGAGAAAGAGCACTGGTTCACATTGCCTCATACCAACAAGAGTTATCCAGGAAATACAACAAAACAGTGCATCCAAGACAATTCAAGATCGGAGATTGGGTACTGCGCAAAGTGATGGGAAACACCTTGATACCAGGAGATGGCAAGTTAGGGCCTAATTGGGAAGGACCTTACAAAGTTGTCGAATTAGCTGGCAACGGGGCACACCACCTGGAAGATAAGGACGGCAAAGCAATCCCTAGGCCATGGAACACCGCCAATCTCAAGTTATTTTATTTTTAGCTTTCCTCCTTCAAACATATGTAATTTTTTCTTTCCTCAATAAAACAAATCGATTCTTTTCAGCATAGTTGTTCTCTGAAAAATTTAGTTTTAGTGAAGTTAGGAACATTGCAAACATTTTATTCTAAGCTGGCTGGAAAAACCAACTTAGAGGTTGGCTGGATTAAACCAACACCCTTCCTAAGCCCAGGATAAGGATCCAGGCTGCAGGACGTTTGGTCGGAATAACCAAATACTTTATTTCTAAGTTGGCTAGAAAAAACTAACTTAGAGGTTGGCTGGATTAAACCAACACCCTTCCTAAGCCCAGGATAAGGATCCAGGCTGCAGGACGTTTGGTCGGAATAAACAAACACTTTATTCTAAGTTGGCTGGAAAAAACTAACTTAGAGGTTGGCTGGATTAAACCAACACCCTTCCTAAGCCCAGGATAAGGATCCAGGTTGCAGGACGTTTGGTCGGAATAACCAAACACTTTATTTCTAAGTTGGCTGGAAAAAACTAACTTAGAGGTTGGCTGGATTAAACCAACACCCTTCCTAAGCCCAGGATAAGGATCCAGGCTGCAGGACGTTTGGTCGGAATAACCAAACACTTTATTCTAAGTTGGCTGGAAAAAACTAACTTAGAGGTTGGTTGGATTAAACCAACTTTTGTTACTCTTCAGCCAAAGGGTATGGCTGAAGAGTGGTTGGCTGGATTAAACCAACTTTCATTACTCTTCAGCCGAAGTAAGGTTACGGGCTGAAGAAGTGGTTGGCTGGATTAAACCAACTTTTATTACTCTTCAGCCGAAGTAAGGATATGGCTGAAGAGTGGTTGGCTGGATTAAACCAACTCCTAGTTCTCTTTAGCCAAAGTAAGAACATAGGCTAAAAGAATGGTTGGCTGGGTTAAACTAACTCCTAGTACTCTTCAGCCGAAGTAATAACATCGGCTAAAAGAGTGGTTGGCTAGTAAGCTCAGTCAGATTGCTCAGCTAAAACCAGAATAAAGTATCTCGGCCGAAAAATATTGTGTTTCGTTCAAGTTGCAGTTAGAAAGCAAGCACAAAATAGGAAAGCAAACCGAGATAACAGTTGGAACAAAAAAATGCATGGATTAAACTCAAAACAAGTACAAAGGAGGGGCCACAGCCCGGTTACAAAAAAGAAAAAAGAAGATACAAAATCAGTTAAAGAGATCGTCCAGATCAGCATCCAGCTCAACTCTGAGTCTGGTCTCAGCAAGAAGCTCGGTCGTCGCTAGAACTCGGTTGAGCTCGGTTGAAACAAGCTCCTCTGGGTTCGGCTCAGCTGGAGACATTATTATAGCATCAGAGGTGGGGGGATTGGAGATCGCTGGAATTGGAGTAAGCTGGCGACCGGGCTGGGAGCCGTTTTCAAAAGAAGAGCCTTCATCTCCACCTTCTTCAAGAAATTGCTTCTGAAGATTGGCAGCATACTCCGCCAGTGAGGCCGGAATGAAGTACTGAGGAGCATTGTAGACCTCAGTGTCGGGCCCACAACCGAGCTGCTCCACAGCACCTCTCTAGCCGCACTTGAAGAATAAATCCTTTGCCGCTTCACATTGCTTGATATAAAGGGTTTCGCTCTCCTTGAAACCCCGGAGCTCGGCGTCTTCTGCCTTCTTCTTCAGCTCCGTTATCTCGGCATCCTTCTTGCCTTCGAGCTTGACTAGCTCACGAAGGTACTTGTCCTTCATCACAACTAGGGCCTTTTGCTTGTCTGCATCGGCCGAGGTAACTAGTCCGGTCAGACGAGCTACCTCGGCCTCTAGCTCGACCGTTTTCTGGTGGGACTCCTTCAGCTCGGTTGTTTTTGCTTCAACCTCTGCCATGGCTTGCCTTGCTGTGCTCCTGAGCTCCAACACCTTTTTATGCGCAATTTGGCCCTTTTGCACGGCCTGAAAAAGAAACTAATGTCAAAGCCGAACAGAAAGTTGGTGATATTTAGAGAGACAAGAAGAACAACTTACCAGGATCATGGATTTCATGGCTGAGCGGATGGCCTTCAGCTTGGTCAAGTTCTTGTGGTGCTCCATGTCGGCTGGGAGGCACACACTCTTGGCAAGGTTAAAAGCCATCAAATGGTCTTTTTCAGCAACAACTGAATCAGTGTCCTGAATATCACGGTTCTGGAAAGTCAGTTTGGGTGCCCATTTGGAAGAGCTGGCTCGGTCGGCGTGTTCTGGTTGCAAGCTCGGTGGAGGGCTTGGTGGCAGAGTGGTTTCGTCTTCATCAACTAAGCGTTGTTCGGCTTGGGTACTACGGGCGCGCTTAGTTCGGCGTGATGAGGAGGGTTGTTGTGATGGCAGGGCCACCACGGTTTTGTGTTTGGTTTGGTGGTGGTACCTCGGCCCTGTTAGTCTCGATCAAGAGAGCCCTGACTCTGTTCCTTTTGGCCATCTCTTTTTTAGCAGTCAGTGGGATTAGTCTAATTTGTGGCAAGGTTGGGTCCGGTTCGGGGGCCTCCTCTAGCAGAAAGTCGGTCACTCTGGCTTTTCGGCGACCGTTATAACGGTATGTCGGCTCAAAATTAAGAAGTTTGGCCCAACTTCTTTCTGGAAAACGTAGTGCGGCACGAAGCGTGTTCAGGTTGGGGTGACTATACAAAGATTGAAGATGGGCTGAATCTGTATAAAGAAGACGAACTGTTAGTTCGGTTCAGGAGCAGGTAATCGAAATAAAGCAAACCATGCCAAAAACTGAAGTAATTATACCAGGTTCTTTATTCCAGTTTATACTTCGTCCAGGGATCTGGGCTTGCTGATCTTCAAAATTGCCAGACACCCAGAAAAAGTCATCATCGTTTAAGTCCTTATCCAACGTATCTTTTATTATTTTTTCTCTGTGACGGCATATCCTAAGGTAGTAGACCCAGCCGTCATCTTTGGAGCCAATGGAGTATTGGTGGAAGATTTCAGCTAGACCAAGGTTAATACCGGCTCGGCAGTTTAGTTCGGCTATTCCCATTATTATACGGTACGAATTGGTGGAAAGCTGAGTTGGGCATATTCTGGTTTGTCTTAGGAATTCACAAATCAAGGGTTGAACGGGGAATCTTAGTCCGGTTTCTATTATTGATAGGAGGGTGAAAGGTACATAGCCCTGTTTTCCCCATGAAAGGGTATCTTGTTCGGCCAGAATAAGTTGGACGTCGTTAGGGATGTTATAATCCCTTCGGAATTCAGCCAGGCCACCAGGGGTTTCTACCAAAAACCTATACTTCCCCATTTATTTTTTAAGTTACGGATAATTTAGTTCGGTCGCAAAATTGTGCTCAGTAGCTCGGTTGAGCGCGCAATTAGAGTTCCTGGGCAACCTAAGTTTGCAAAGTGGAAAACAAAGGGATTAAGCACAGATCATTGGACCATGCTACAAAATAAAAGCAAGAATAGGAGTCCTACTTCGGCTATGTGGATGCTACAAGTTCTATCTCAGTTACAACAAGGTGCTTGGTAGCTCGAATGGATTAGTAGGTAATGTTAGACCGGTTGAGCGCCTAGGGGCAGCTTTCTGAGTTCGGTCTAAGAATTAAGAAAGTTAGTTTAGCCCCAAAGACCTAGATCGGTCGAAATTAAGGTTTCCCAGTATGCTAAGTGCAGACTTAGTTCGGTTGGATACCTCGGCTAAGGTCTATTAAGAAGTGGTTTGACTTATTGAAACTAATGGTACCAACATGGAGTGCTAGTTCGGTTAAGAAGTCTGATAGAATGATATAAACTACAAACAGTTTACTAGTTTGGTTATGTGTAATTTTGGATCAAAAGTAGTGTTCTACAGGTTATTTCATGAATACCTGAGGATTATACGAACATAGTGTTTTCAGAAGAAGCAAAGCAAATGGGAAAAATTGTGTTTTGCAAAAACACACAAAACAAAGTACGAAAACAAGGAAAGCAAGATAGATGTGCAGTGCTTACCAGATGAAGAGGCAAGAACTGGAGATGAGAGCAGCAGCAGTGGCGAACACGAGCTCAGAGGTTGAAGAGCAATGGAGGTTCAAAGAGAGAAATTGAATAGTATGGTGAGTGATTTTGAAATACAAAAGGGTTTTTGTGTTTGTGAAAGAGCTGGAGACGGGAACTGTTCAAATTTTGCAAAGTACGAGGGCGGCGTTACAGCTGTGGATGGCCAATAATAACCTGCCGCGTGTCATTAGAATGGGAATCGATTCAGATGCTGTGATTGAAGAGACATTTCGACCGGACAAGCGAAGCCCGGTGTGTAATTAGCTCGACTGGAAAAGCTAAAAGGTTTTAGCTCGGCTGGAGAGGCTAAAAGATAGTTTAGCTCGGCTGATAAACAGGTAATCCCAATCATGCTACACAGATGGAATTAAGGGGCAATTGAGAGGGTAATTTATATGAAGATTGGGCCGAGCTAGCTAATGGGCCGTTATGGGCCACAGTACTAAGAGCTGAGTAAAAAGGCCGTAAAGTTACTCCGGCCCGAGAGAGATGTAAAGTTACTCCGGTCCGGAAGCGACTTAGAGTTAGGCCGGTTTGAAGACGCTTTGAAGTTAGACCGGTCTAAGAGTTAGCCCGGTCATAACGTATTGGGGTTAGACCGGTCTGAACCTTGCTACTCGGTAGCTCGGTCTAACCACACCATTCTTTGTACATGAGGAACCGAGATAAGGAGTAGTGAAAAGGAGAACCGAACTAAAGATGGTTCGGCCTACTCTACGGCTCAGCATAGCCATGATTACCTCGGTCCTGTTAGAACTCGACCATGGTAAAACCATCTCACTTGGTTTAAGTAGTGAGGGGGGTGTTGAACGATAAGCATTATCCTTCAGGAGTATGAATCCTAGGAGGACTCTACATGGAGGAGTAAGAGTCCTACTTGGATTGTACCACACAAAACCTATAAAAGCTCACAAACATCACCTATGGGGAGGTAACACACAACTTTGATTCTCGAATTCACAAGAGCTTCTTGTCTACTTGTCTATTTTTCTAACTTAGGCATCGGAGTGGTTTCCGGCATACACCCGCCGGCTAGCTCACGTTTGTGTTTTCAGGGAGTAAAGTGACGTCGTACGGAGGAGCGCAGACTTGATCAACAGGATTATACGAGAAGGTTAATTTCTTTCCCGTACAAACATAATCTGGAAAAGAACCCAGAATTTGACCTGTCCGCTAGAGCGTGGAAAGTCCCGTTCAAGCGTACCCTGTTTTACTAGACTCCTTGCTCGAGCGTCAAAAGTCTCGCTCAAGCGTAATTTGCAAACAACCAGTACTTTTGCAGACCAAAGGGGTCCGCTCGAGCGTAGGGTCCTGTTTTAGAAATTTGAAAAGATGTTTTATGCTTCGTTTTCCGTTCTCTTTCATTTCAAAGCACTCTTAGGCATGCATTAAACATTGTAAATGAATTAAAGAACGTGAAAAGAGCCTAAGAATGTTAAACAAGTTAAAGAACGAGATGAATTGTAATATGACCCAATGTGTTATGAATTATATACGATCAAACATAGAGACGAATCAAGCACCAGAACACTGTGAGTAATAACTTAGTAAAGCTATGTTCAAGTTAAATTATTTTCGGTATATGAAATAAGATCTGTTGAATGAAATGTCATGTTTTATACTATGAATGATTGTCCAACAATAACAAGCATTTATGACATTATGCTATGATTCAAGTATGTTACAAATGACATTAAGCTATGATTCAAGTATGTTACAAATGGCATTATGCTATTATTCAAGTATGTTACAAGTGACATTATGCTATGATTCAAGTATGCTACAAGTGACATTATTCTATGATTCAAGTATGCTACAAGTGACATTATGCTATGATTCAAGTATGCTACAAGTGACATTATGCTATGATTCAAGTATGCTACAAGTGACATTATGCTATGATTCAAGTATGCTACAAGTGACATTATGCTATGATTCAAGTATGCTACAAGTGACATTATGCTATGATTCAAGTATGCTACAAGTGACATTATGCTATGATTCAAGTATGCTACAAGTGACATTATGCTATGATTCAAGTATGCTACAAGTGACATTATGCTATGATTCAAGTATGTTACAAGTTCCCGGTACCAGAGGTTCCTTATGGAACTGACAAGCTATCTGTACCCGGCTGGAGGTTCCTAGGTGGAATTGACAAGTTTACAAGTTCCCAGTCCAGAGGTTCCTTTATGGAATTGACAAGTTATCTGTGCCCGGCCGGAGGTTCCTCTATGGAACTGACAAGTATGATCTAAGATGCTTGTAAATGATCTGTTAGCGCTAACGGATGAACCATGTATGATCGAACATGAATTCTGATTTCTGTATATGAATTGAATAAGAATACGAATATGAATCTATTCTATGTACAAGACTCTATTTCTGTATGGACATCATTCAGTAAAATCCTTACTTTGTTATTATTCACTAGGCTCCAGTTCACTGTATTATTTACGTATGTAGGTGATCAGGCGCGTGACCAAGCCTAGAGCTTTTTCCTGGATTCTGTTTTGTCAGCCAGCCAGCCTATGTGCCTCCTGTGGAGGTTCCGGATATGTCTAGCGATTATGGCTAAGTACATAAGTTCAAGTTTTGTTTCTTATTTGGTTAAACAAGTCTTTGTTTATTTTGTAAATAGGGCTAAGTCCCTTTTTGTCTAATCTATAAATATATATATGATGACGTAAGAATGATGTGTAAATATGTATATAAAAAGTTTCAAATTTTACTGTCTCATAAAAGTCTGCACAGCTCAATGGATGTTGTATATTTGTTATTTGCTTCCGCTAGCCCCTAATATTATGTTAATATGTCTCAGAGGCCTTCGGTAATCCTAGGATTACTAGCCGGTTACGATGCTAAACCTATGGGGGCAGGTTTGGGTCGTGACACCTGGGGATCAAAATTGAGTTTCCTTGATAATGGCCAGTTACAATTTCAGCGTGGATAACATTAGGTTTAAGAGCTTTGCATATTAATTGCACACCGTTGCATATTCCTACAGTAGGGTCTATGTTTTTTAGAAGCATTATTGGGCAAGACTGTTTGAGTTGTAGTTGGTGGAGAGGCATTCCATTTGGAATCAAGTTGTGAAGGAATTCTTGTAGGTAGTTTTCTTGTTTGTCATTTGTCGCTTTGTCAAAGCTAGTATATGTGTTTGTACTTCCTAGGAATTTGTCCATCAAGACTTTATTGATATTGTCTACGAATTCATTCTTAGGAGTCAAGATGGCTCGAGATGTCAAGTATTTTGATTTGAATGCATTTTCAGTAAAATATGGATAAATATGTTCAACCAATGTTAATATTGGCTTTGAACCCTCTTTTGTGCTGATAATCATGCATTCAGGTACTGTGATTAAGTCCTCATCTATGTTGTTGTAAGTTTCATTGTCGATGTCTAATAAGAAATCAGAAAATTGAAGATCATGTAATGCTCGGATGTTTTCTGTTAGACGAAAAATATGAAGGTGAGGCCAGAGGGTTGATTCAACCAAGCTGTTGTTTATGCATTCCTCACGAGTGGAACGGGGACTAACATGAAGAACTTGTCGAAAATCACCACCAAATACTGCAACTTTTCCAGCGAAGATGGTCTCATTTGAGCAAACATCACGTAACATTGCTTCGAAAGTTTCAATATTTTGTTTCTTTGCCATAGGCACTTCATCCCAAATGATTAATTTTGCTGTTTGAATGAGTGTGGCAACTACACTTTGTTTCCCAACATTACAGCCGATTGAATTGTTGATATCTAAAGGTATTTTGAAGCGAGAATATGCAGTGCGGCCACCAGGTAGGTTAGCTGCAGTTATTTCTGTGCTAGTTATTGTTATAGCTATAGATCCTTCTGAGCATATAGTAGCTAGCAATGTTCGGTACGGGAAAATTTTTCCAGTACCTCATGGGCCATCAACGAAAAATCCACCTCCTAAGTGTTGCTTTATGTGGTGCATAATTAGATCGAAGGCAGCATGCTGTACATTGTTTAGGAGGAGTTTCATATGTATGTCTTTTTCTGAAATTGGGATTTGTGGTTTAGCCTCAATTTCCTTGGTAGGTTTGTTTCGTGTGATGGAGCTTTGTTGTATGCTGGGACGTTGTAATCTGTAATTTTCTTGTCCATTGATTCGATGAAACTTGCAATATGGTCAAGCGTGATGTTTTGTACTTGTTCTACTGTGAGTTGTAGATTTTGTATGTAGTCTTCTGATAGAGCATCATAAAATTTCTCCCACAATGATCTTGGATTATTAGGTTCGCAAAAAACTAATAGTGTTGCAAATAGACGCCTCAACGCGAAAGGCATTTGGAAAACACTTGCTTCTACAAGGCATTCTTTAGTGGCATTGTCTTTCTCAAGCAAGAATCGTTTTTCAATGGCTTCTTGGAATGAGGAGCATATTTGCCCATCTACAGTACTCAAGTTTATGAAACTTGTAGCTCCTCTTATGTGTGTTAGAAGTATACGTAGAAAGTATTGTTCTCCTTCAGAACGGTTGGCCGATACATCCTTCCAATTGTTCTATTTCCTTTACGTGGTCCCCAATATTGATCTTGAACATTCCAAACATAATGCTCAAGGAATTCAGAGTATAACCATTGCCTAGTAGATGTGTTTGCGTTGTTCGTCGCAAAATATTTAGTGAGCATAGTTCTAGAAGCACGCCCAAATTGTAGAACACTTGGCAAATTATCTTCTTCCTTGAAATTTACAAGTTGCATGTTTGGCAAGTGTAAATGGAGAGCTAAAACTGCTGGGAAAATATCGTTAAGTGTGAATTTGTAAATACGCCATGCAACTTCAGGTGGAGATATACAATGAGCGGATTGGTATGCACTAATCTCATCAATAATTGAGTCGCTATCATTAGCAATGAAATGAAAAGAAACATGATCATGCCCTTTGTATACATATTTGTACAAATATTTTACAGCTTTGATTGTGGAGCAGATTTCAACATTTATGTGGCAATCAAATTTTGCAAGTCAGTACGGGTTATAAGGGACAACCCATCTATTGCCTAGAAGGCTACCTCGAACATTCAGACACTTGCCGTCGTTTCAACGCCTATAGATTGGGTAAGAGTTCTCACCACACTTGGTCACTTTTGAGAATTCTCGAAGGTATTTGTTCTTATATTTGCCTTTTTTGGTCATGTAAGGGTTTGTTGGCTTTAGTGCACCACAGGGGCCATGCATCATATGCTTGACAACTGCCTTATACAAATGTGTGTTGTTATCTTTATTTGGTATCTCGGAAAAAATATATGTGTCATATTCTTCAGCGTGGATAATCTTTGCATGAGATTTTAAAACCAACAAGAAATGGAAATGTGGAAGGCCACGCTTTTGATATTCAATCACATATATGTAAGCTGCTATAGGGCCGAAAAGTTGTTTTTTGACCAACTCATTTTTTAGTTCCACAATTTTGGCACGGAAAACATGAGCAATAAGATCTAGTCGATTTTGTGCTTCTTATGTTTCAGTAGCTCTGCTTTGATTTCAGGCCAAAAAGGGTTGCATGCCATTGTTAGAAATATGTCAGGTTTTCCATGTCGTTGTACTAATGTCATAGCATCCAGATATCTTCACTTCATATCTCGAGGGCCACCAATAAAGGACGCTGGAAGGACTATGCATTTACCAATGTTTGATACTCTTGTTTCACCACTTGTTACACTGTCGACTATTCCTTGATACAAGTCGGCACGAATAGTGTCTTGGTTAGCTCATATGTAGTCTAATCGAGTGCTTTCAATTTTTATGTACATGTCGACAATAAATTATTGTAGCAGCCTGCCTAAAAGTAATATTGTCGATATTTGTGAAGGCCTAATTTGTAGCAAATAACAATAGAATTGGCAACATGAAATCTCTGATGTATCACTCGTAACAGCATGTGAAGCTGTAAGGAAAAAAGTAATTAGAATGGATGTAGGGTGGTTTTGAGCTTTCGGGGTTTTTTCCTCAATGAAACGATAATATAATTTTAATGAGTAAAGGATTTTTTACCTTCATTTTCTAAGGCTAACAATTCTGATGTTTTGGCAAAAATGCTTGTGTTGTCTAGTGGAATATTTTTTCCTTTTCTTTTCACATTACGGTGCCAGCCTGTTTCACTATAAGAAAATAATAGAGGGTATTGAAGAGGGTCATAGCAGCCATGGTAATGCATAACTCATTGGCTACCACCTGATTTTTTATGTACAAGAATGTCGCGAGTCTTATTGTTTGTGGACTCTTCTTCAATCCATATTGCTGCAACTTGTTAAGCTGACGGTACATTGTAGGTTCTTTGATCTGGGCAAGGATTTGTTCGAATGGCAATACTACATTCCTCGTTAATATCAACATCTTTTAAGCTGCGCAAGAATTTTGCATAGGGATTTTCTAACAAAATGCACATTATTGACTCGATGATATCTACACGTAATTGTGGTGCATTTTCTGAACGATGTTGCAATTCATGCTTAGTGTCATAGAAATAAAGTTGGAGGTATTTGGGTCTGGTGTCAAGTGGTTATAAACTATTGATGTAGTGATATATTTGACTTTGAGCTCGAAAAGTACATATGCCATTTTTCCTTGTTGCAACCTTCCTATTAAGTTTGACACCCATAGATGTGAAGGCGAATAAGTTGTTGTATGTTCGAATATTTTCACGAAAATATTGGTTGTCCTCATCTTTGGATGTCATTAGGCGATGTAAGTCTCGTAGTGGTTGGTTGCAAGCAAGTTGTCTTTGACCTTGCGAACAACATAACCCTTTAGGCTCATATGGAAAAAGTTTTGCACCACAAAATCTACAAGAAGATGTTAGAGGAAGACAGGAAGCGGGAGTTGGAGGAAAAGGCATCATATTTACATTTCTCTGTGTTCGTTCACAGCTTATCGATAACAATAATTGTTAGTATGTCAAGTGTTGATCAAAATGTTGTAGAATACATTAGAGGTCAAGTTTTCTATTGTGGGAACATACGCTGATGCTTTCTAGTACAAGCTGCGGTTATCTTGCTATCAGATTTGTTCGCCTGATAGTTTAATGAATCTCTCGAATGGTCGGCATATGAAAAAAGCATTCCTAGAATTGTGATAGTAAGTGGAATATACAAGTAGGGTGTATTTTGACAAATGGTAAATAGTGTTTACACATTGGTATGGAAATATGAAGTCATAGAGTCATACGGATTGGGAAGTCATTTGATTCTAAAGAAGCTGCGATGCCACTAGTTGAACAACTCCCATAGTAGAAATTCAGTTGGAGCCACAACAGTTGAAGGCACATCTATATAACATTTGAATTAGATGTTATAGATGAGAAGAAAAATCATAAAGTAGAGCCACAAATATGTCTAGCTCTTCCTTGTGAAGGCTAGTCAGACAATAGGTTTGTAGGTTTGTTTACCCTATTGCACCTGATAACACGTTGTATACCTTTATCATTGTCAAACATTTTGTTGCATAATTGTTATTCTTTTGCTCGTTGATGATTTTCCCTTTGTTGTTCTAATAGTTGTTGCTTGCGTTGACTTGTTAGTCTTGAACAGTATGCATGTCGATTTTATTCACGTTTACGAGTTAGGAAATATCGACTGGTTAATTGTGAACATATTGGTGATGCAAAGTATGTCGATGTAGTTATTTAGCGTACCTTGTTGTTCTTCAAAAAGGCTTTCTCGAGTTTTGACTAAATGGTTATTCATATTATTTGAGCTAAAGTCTCAAGTACACCTACATTTAATTATCAATTGTGTAGCATACATTTACAATAAATCAATAATGAATTTGTTAAGCTAGTAAACAATTAGAAGCTAAATGAAGAAATACAATTTCAATTGAGGAAATAAGTGCATGTTTAACAAGAGCTAGCCAAAGGGTTATATGTTAATTCTACCACGTCAACTTATGAAATGTTTAACCTGTAATATAAGATCCACTTGTGTTCAATATTTGGGGTGATATTAATGACTTTTGTTTTTGGCATTTTCATTTTTTTAAGTGCTTTATATTTTTATAGCTATTTGAAGTTGAGAATATAATCTGCTTTGTTGGAAGTGCATTGCTTCACAGTAGGGAAAAATCAGTTGTCAATTTTGTATGTTGTTTACTTCTTGGATAGAATGTTGCTAAATATCCTAATCAATGACATGATTTCCATCTCGTCTAGTGTAGAGCAAAATAGAAGAGTATATTTCACTTTCTCTAAGGCCACTTAGCATTATTTCTTCATTTCTTGTTGGTGAAAGGATAGAATATCTATTAGATGTGGGGGTCGTGCTATAGTTTCAATATAAATATTTTTTAAAATTGTGTTTGGTTTATGAATTTGAGAAGTGAAATGTAGTTATATTTTGTATCCAATTTGTCTATCTCTTCAATATAAATATTTTTTAAAATTGTGTTCTAAGCTCAATTCGATGAACCTGTTGAGCATGTCTTAGTATACTCTGTATTCACATAAATTGAAGACAATGGATTCACCCTATTAGCCTAACCTGCAGTTTTATGATTTCAACAATTGTGTTTTGAATTTTAACTAATGCTTTCTCCATTTGTACCTAGGGAACCCTTTTTTAGCCCCAAATTTTTAGATTTGGTTTAAGATTTGGGGAACCTTTCTTCACAACTGATTTGGTTTCAGATTTGGGGAATC